AGCTTGGTAAGCTGTAAAATTCAGATCAAGTATTAAGGCGAGATATAAAAAAGAACCTGAAAAACATGATTACCTTGCCAATGAAAACGTTTGCCTAAGGTAAGCTTGCATCGTCAAAAAGGTGTATTCAAAGCAAAATGTCGACATCCGTCACAAATAACTATAATTTGCCGACCACGAAACCCACCCAACTCATCCAGACTCTTAGAGACGTCGTCCTTGCCAAATTTCCGATTGGGAAAGGTCGTCTGAAGCGTAATCTCTTGACTGTCAATGCTCATACGCATGGTTCCGTCTGGATCCATCGGCCAATTTTGACTGACGTAAAGGACCACAGCCCCCAAGCTTTCGGAAGATTTAAAAGTTCCCCTCAATGGTTCTCCTATGGGAGTGCGGATCTGTAGTCGACATTCGGCGGGATCGAGTGACGTGGCTCCACTCAAGGAAGGCACTGTGGTGAAGGCTGTTTTGGAAACTATACCCTTTTGTTTAGCGGCCTGCAAATTAAGTCTAGATCAGTAGCAATCTGACAAATCAAAAGATTGAACTTTATGCCAAACTAATTCGCAGTTAATGCATGAAGAGAAGGTTCGAGTAATACAAGTTCAAACTTATTCAGAAATAGAGAGGGAAAACGCAATTTTAATGGTAGTTATTTTAGCGGTACCAACGAACACAATCGATATGAAATTCATGTGATAAACGTCGGGCATACCCTTTCAGCTCTCTCTGCTGCGACGTCCGCAAGAAGTTTATCTCTAAAAGATGGACAAATGGGAGCATAGAGGAGAAAAGTGTAGTGCTGTGACACCAGTTCCAGTATGTCACAGACATCTGAAGCTCAAAATATTGCAAAGTTTAATGATTTGTGCGATAAAACAGTAGAACGATACCTTTCGCTAAGATGAATGCAGAAAGCAAAAAAAATAATCAGTGAACAAAATGAAATACACAGCAAACCTGTAGGCCTTATCTTCAGCTCTATCCTTTTTTAGCTGCTCAGCTTCTCTTCGCATCAGTTCCTCCCTAAACAACGCCTTCGCGCTCTGGGTAGCCTTCCCTTGTAGACGACGATTTTTCTCCTCACTAAGGCATTTTTGCCGGTCTTCCTCTTCTCTCTTCTTCTTTCTTTGAAGCATTGCTTCCTCAGATAAGTTTAAGACTCAAATTTCAAAGATCTACATACCTCAAGCCTTCGCATCTGCGCTCGCTTCTCCTCGTCCGTAAGCGGTTTCAACGATTCTGCTGACTCTTTGAAATTCATGTGCCCAGTTCGAGCACTGTGTAATTCTACATCATCGTTACTGCGCAGAGGTTTTCCGCACCTAATAATTGAAGGAGTTACAACGAAAAACTATACTCTTCGCAAACGAATGACCGAGGAGCCTGTGACAAGTTCTCAGCTGTAGAACTTTGCATAGTAGAATGGTCTAAAAATGCAATGTTAGACAAAACGAACCCCCCAAGTTCTGAGATGCGCCCTTTTGATCTTCAGAATGGTCGAATATCCTAGCAGCTGTAGGAGCAAAATCACCAAAAAATACCAGTCAATAGCCGCTTCCAAACCTCGGTGATTTGTTTCATTCAATGCCTTTTCTCTAAGCAGAATTATACAGTACGCAAAGGAACATTACGCGTATTCCCTTGTCCATCCCATTTGCACAAGAATATCAACATCGTTTTCCATAATGCAAAAAACACACGCTCCTCAAAAGAGCCTGACGCCGACGATGTCACTAACGTTCGGCAAAACAAAATTATTAATAACCTTAGTGTCGCGTTTCATCAAAACAAAGCTTAAAGAGGCAAAGGAGAGGATCAGTTAAGGAGATAATATAGTTACAGCACCCAGAATATTGATGCACTAATTATATATGCAATCTAAAGAAAAATGCGAGTATTGCAGTCAGAACCTTTAAGAAATTGCTGCATCACTCCTATAACTGAAATTTTAGCTAAGCCAAACAAAAAACCATGCCTAACTTGACAATGTCTAGGAAAGACTGCCTTTTGTCACACAGACTTTCAAGTAAACAACGCACTATAACAAAATTACAGTACTTACTGCTTGGTGGTATAATACGCATTGTGCATTAAAATGTCACTCACCATTTGAAGCTTGGAATTCACGTCAGACGCTGTGCTCGAGGAGTACGGAGGGAATTAAACCTCATCTTCTATCTGACACCTATACACGGATCCTTAGGGGAATTTCCGACACGAAACGTTTCCAGATGGTTCACGGCGGTGTCACTTCAGTCGTTA